TTTTTTTTTCCAAAAGAATGTGTTTATTGCAATTGGCATATCAAGGCCAAAGAGAAATATTGTGCAAATATGGTCATAWGTGTAAATTCATCTAACCTATCTGACTTCACTTTGGTTTGTAGGACATGACTCTTGGTTTAATTGGTAACTTTGTAATCTCTAATGCTCAGAAATCTGGAACCATCTCCAACAGACATCAGGRAAAAAACCTCTTAATTAATGCTTAACTCCAGACACTGGAGCTTTTTCATCCAGCTTTCTCCCCTTGGTCAAGTGATCTTGTATCTATTTTCAGATGCTGAGCAGATGCTAAGTAGGTTATTTAGTTTGTAAACACAGATAATTATACATTGAGATGTTTTTCTTGTGTTATAAATGCGTGAGCCATTTTTTAATAGTAGGTAATGAATGCGTCTGTTTTTCCTGATACYAGGTTGTTTCATCTATATCCACACTGATTGTTGCATACAACATTTATGTTTTTCCTTGCTGTCTTTACTGAAAAACAAATCATACTTAAAAAAATTTCACATGAATTTCTGTGCTTAAAGAGGGTGAAACTGGAAAACCTGCAAGTACCCACTGCTAGATTTTGAATTCCTTTGCCCGTTTAAGGATTACTCTTTTAAGTTGTGTGCACTTGAGTATGTCCAGCTGTAAGAAAGTGATTGTTTACATAAATAAAAATTTACAGAATACCCCCCAAAGCTAGCTGTAGATGCTGTGTAAAATTGTCTAATGCTAGCCTTTACTTCAGATCATTTCAGGTAACTAGATTTKGTTTTCAAAATCTAAGAACTCTTCAGCACTTCGTGATTTTATTGCCAAGGGAAGTATATTTTAGGCTTATCTATGGTATGTGTCTGAAAAATGCACCACTTGCTCATTTCATGGAAGGTGTCAGAAGTTGTCCAACCATACATTTACTTCTTAAGTGGTGTGCTAGTAGATAAACTATGCCTTCTGTAAGGATCTTGAGTGTATCACAAGCTGCAAACATCGCTGTCTTTTTTCCAAGGTCCAAGAACTTAAATCYTTGTTTGCAACTTGAAAAATGTAAATATCATGAAAATGAGAAGGTAACTGTACTAACTAGACAAGGATTATTTAGGGTATTGAATTAATGTGTCATTTTTATTCTCATCTAAGTTTTGGCAGGGAGTTGCTCAAAGAGGTGTTTYAAATACATATGTTCATTAAGTTGTGATACTACAGATTATAGAAGAAAAGTGAGAAATGTTACAGATGTTTGCATAGTTTTTTTTTAGGGTGTTTTCGGGTTTTGCTACTGTTTCAGAGTCTGTTTTGGAAAGACCAAGGRAAAAAACATGTTGACATTGCTGTCTGGTTGGCACAAAGCAGCTGGGATTGCTCAAACGGTGCCCTTTGTAGATAGTCAAGCACTGACAGAATGAGATAATCAGAGTACCTCAACAGGCCTATCTATGCCATTACAGTGAACTTCTATTCCACAAATGAACTTACTTTCCCTACTTTCTCAACTCTTTCCCTCACCCTTTTTGTTTGTTTGTTAGTTTTAAAATTAGTCTAGACTAGAACTGATTTAATGCAGTTAAAAGGCTTCTACTAAAATGCTCCTTATGGTTAMATGTTTCCTTCTGTGGTGATGGTTTAGGATGAGGCTTTATATCCTTTTTTTTTTTTTTCCACTGCCTTATCAAGTGGCATTCTAGCATGGTATATGAACTTTTAAAATTTTTAGATCTAAATACATATCTATAAGTTCTATTTCCAAAAAAATATAGCTAATTTCTGATCAGCATGCCATGTACTTTTATGTAAATTCTGCTGATAAAGAATAATGTTTTATAAATAGTTTTCTCATGACAATACATGTGAGAGACCTACAAAATCATTCAACACTCTAATCTGAGCAGAATAAAATTAAGCCAAAGAAAAAAGTATGTTTTCTGTAAAATGGTACAAGAAGCTTGAAAGCAGAGAGGAAGGTAAAGGATAAGACCAATCATCTGATATGAGCTGTGAGCAATAGGATGGTGAGCCTCAAGTGTTCCTCCAAGAGTCTGTAGGTAAGAATGAGCACAGCCGATGCTCTGATTTTCCATGGGGTGAACTCAATTCTGCTGAAGTTYCTTCTGATCACTCTTCCAGTGAAAATGCTGAAAAAAATTATACTTGCTTAGATACGAGAAATTTGTAATTTTTTTTGAGGTTATATTCTATTAGTTGGACCTGACACCTTTTAATTTTGGTATTTCTGCTGCTAAATGTGGAGTAATTGATAAGGGAAAAAAAAATTTTGTTTATACAAATCATAGGAAATAAAATACTTATGTTTAATGCTTTCAGTGTGRTGAACACATTTAATTTGTGAAACGGTGCTGAGGATCAGATTGGGTTTTCCTGTTTGATGAAGTATAGAAATACTTTTAAAAGCTAGCCTGTGCATGCTGCCTTTAAGATTTAAAGCTACATTTCAGTTTGTTGCGAAATAAGTATTGGCAAATTCTGATTCTCTTACCTACTTTGATGGTCTTGCATTAAAGCTTTAAGTTGTAGCCATTGAGAAAATGCATGCAAAATGCGTACAAAATCTAAATTGTTTTGAATAACTACCTCTCTACCCTTCAGTCTCAAGGCTAGAGAKCTGAGCATGGGTGATAAAGCAGAGACAAAATTTAATTGATGAGAGAAAGCATTTTAGAAGACAGTCTTKCATAGCTTCCTACTTACCTATGCAAAATGTCTTAAATAAATTTTACTTGCAGGCTATAGTTCATTTTCCCCACAACCACTTAATATTAAAGGAGAAACAGTAATTAGACTTGGAAATTAGCACTACTGTATCACCAACTTCACTTTTCATGATCCCTCTTGAAGATGACCTTTCACAGTGCTGCCTGTAATTCCTCAAACCTCACCAAGGAACACCTTTAATTTCCTTTTCCTTAGTGCTACTCCATCGCCTTTCAACACACAGCACGCCCTGTGCCTTAGAAATTCTGGTTCTTGTGCTGCCTCCCAGCCTGAGGAGCCAAGGTGGCTCTGTCCTTGGCCCAGATAGCATCCCTGTTTTAGCCAAACACGTTCTCTTGCCACTCTTTGGGAGGGAAATTGTCAAATGTGTAATGGCCCCACTACTTTGTAATATTCTCTCATTTCAGAGGGGTAGGAGGGACTTCAAAAATGGTTTTGGATATGCTGATGAGCATGCCTGCTTTGGATAATAAACTGGAATTATTAATGAGTGTGTCAAAAATAGGAAAGAAGGAAAAGAAAGTGTGTGTGAAGGAGAATGTTCCTCTGTAAAATTTTGCACRTCTAAATTAAAAAAATTYCTGAATGAATCTGATGCARTAGCAAACTGAATAGTCCTAAAGGYAACCTGAGGGGGAAAAACTGGAGTTTAGATGCATTTTATATAGAAATTACAGGTTTATTCCACACTGAGTTTTTTTTTCTGACACAAAATGACAGCTGCAGTCCATTAATGATTTAACAGGGTTCTAAATTCATCATGGCAATTTACTCACTTGATCCAGTATGGCAACCTTCTGTTTCTAGGAGTAATTTGGTTAAAATACACAATTAAATTATAGCTAATTTAATGAATTAAACCTGACTGTGATCACATGTGGAAAACATATTTTTAACTGTGCCCTTCCTACAATAGCTGATGCTTACCTGACATCTATTTTTTTTTCCAGTTATTGAAGAATTATCAGAAGTGGAGAATTGAATGCCCCGAAATAAGTGCAGATTTACAACCATCTTCTGTTCTTGGTCTTTTGCAAGCTGGCTATCATGGAGTCCTAAGATCAAGAGATCCWCATGGAAGCAAAGTTCTAATATATAGAATTGGTGAGTGACAAAATTGCTTGGAACTGTTTTGCACCTGACTCTGACACTGAAGTATTTGGGTTTTGTTTGTTTTTTTGAGTTGTTTTGTGGTTTGTCTACTTTTTAATTATTGTGATTTCAGCAGCAAACCAAAAATACTTTATCATACAACCACAGGGGTTGATAAAATTAGATCATATCAGAATATCTTAACTAGAAGGGTAACRTGTTTATGTTCCTTGTAAGAAATATATTTACATTAAATTAAAGGTGAGTTTACTGAGCTGTAACAGTTACATGGTTTTGCTTATAAATTAGTGGGGCTAAAGCTGTAAAAATCCCTTATGAAGAGCTTAATTTTCTTTTTAGTGAAATTCTTGTTGCATTAAAAGGATCTTAAAGTTTAAAACTTATAAGATTATGTGGTTCTTCAGCTCTGAGTGTCCCACCAATCATTTGTTTTCATGTAAATTTTCAAAGCCATGGACTAAGACTGTGGTACTGATGCAATCCTGTACAGAGTAGAGAGAACAGAAAAAAAGGTGTACACCTAGTCAGGTATCAGTGTTTGAGCTTGGATGAGCAGTTCACTGGGTTTTCACTTTTTACTTGTAGCCAAAGAGCCCTGTACTCTTGGAAAATGATGGACCTCCCAAAAATATTTTCAGACAATATATGGTTAAATGAACACCATATCTCTTTATGCTCGTTTTGGACAGAGACATGATTTTTGCTAGCTTCCAACGAATTACATTATTATCAGCTGGTGCAGTAGACAGTTGTGCCCTCTAAAGCATTCATCTCGGGTTAAGGCTTGTCCTATGCAGTTTTTTTGTTGAGGCCTCTGGGGGAAAAAAAAAAGCGAGATTTACTGAATCATGGCAGAATTACAGTGCGGAAAAAAAAATTAATATAATTGATTGGATTGATGATCTGTAGCTTCTGCTAGCATGACTGCTCCTGAATTAAGCTGTTCCTGGCAAAAGCCTTTTATTGTATCTATGGGCATAGGTAGAACATGCTACATTGTTTGGTACCATCTACTAAAAGAGCATCAAAGACAAGTGAGAGAGATGGCACACAAAGTAACTTATGCACTGGCAAAACAGTTTATCAGGAGCTTTGTTAGTGCTGGTTAATTCACTTTTCTGAGAAGTATGTTAGAAGCAGTAGCAAGCAAAAGTGCAGGTATATGGGATATTCTCATGGTAATGTAGGGTAATCTATCTTCTCTTCAGGACAATGGGATCCCAGTTTGTTTACAGCATATGATGTGTTCCGTGTAAGCCTCATCACATCTGAACTCATTGTAAAGGAGATTGAGACTCAGAGAAATGGAGTCAAGGCCATCTTTGACCTTGAAGGGTGGAGATTYGCTCATGCTTTTCAAATCAGTCCAGCAGTGGCCAAGAAAATCGCTGCTGTTCTCACAGTAAGTATGACATAATGCTTTATGCAGCTTCATTGCTGAATTCTTCTTTCGTAGACCTTCTCTGACTATGCAGYTTAGAAGAACAGAATCCTAAATCCATTACAAGTCATAGGCTGTGCTTGATTTTACTTAAAGGATATTCTTCTGTAGCAGTAAATGCCCTCTWACTTCTGGTATTTTATAAGTACTCCACCAACCTCTTAACAGCACAAGAATTTCATGACTGGAAGARCAGATGAAGCCCAGTTTTGGAAGAATCGGTGTTTGTTATCCTGTTTCATGTCTTCCATTCTTTTGTACATTATCTTGACATTTAAAACATTTATTCCTCACCCAGAGAATATAAAAATAGCATGCACTAAGAGTATTTAAGAGCAAGACACTCCTAACTTGTTACCAGTATGGACGATGCTTATGTGATCTTCCATCTGCTAACAACACAATGCACAACATTTATGTTCTGCTTGCTTTTTTCCCCCCAGCATGAGCATTGTTTTCTGCAAATCACTGCTACTTCACCTCCTATTTTTCACAAAGCATCTCAGAACTTTACTGTCTTTAAGGCTTGTTCCTTTCTGCCATATTCAGTTGAACTTTGCCACYRGGCYTGAGAGGGRAAAMAAAGAAAAAAGGAGACAGATAATTGACAGGCGAGCTACAGTGTAGTCCTATAATCCTATTTTTCTTCAGAAGCTATGTCGAAAGTCAATAATAATAAAACTGTTAGCCTGTGATGTGGAAATGAGCCAGGGAGATAATCTCTTGCTCTGATTTGGTAAGGTTCATATCTGAGATTCAATCTAAGCTTAGTCATTGAATTAATATCRTCAGAACTCCAGATGGTCTTTTTTTCTGATATCTACTGTATAAACCATCATTTATTCCCAACTTTGCACATCTAGAATAAGAACTCTTGATGTTATGCAATCTTGGGCCACATCGCTTGAAAACAGGACTAGTGAGAGTGTTTCACTTGGTTTCTGAGGTAGTAAAAACATTGCTGGTAATTTTTTAAACCTTGAAATAGAGCAGAAAGGAAGCAGAATAGTATTTGCAAGTACGTCTAAAGATTTCAATCCGTTTTCTTAAAGCAAGAAATTCTTTGAAGATGATGTTTCCATCTTGACCTATTTCTGATTAGTTGAATGTTTTTCAAGCTCCTAAATGTTTATGCTAGCTATGGAAAAAAAATTACAGTTGTGTGTTTCCAAGTGTTCTTTTCTAAGAGGAGAAAGAATTTTAACTCCTTTTTTCCCCCCCTCTGATTCCTATTACCACTTTTAACTGGGTTCGTAARTTTTATGCACAGATCATGTTAATGTTGTTCAATATCATAGAAACACCAAATCATAGATTATGTTAAGTTGTAAGGGACTCATCCGGATCAATGAGTCCAACTTGTGGCCTTATGCAGGGCACCCCAAGAGTCACACCATGTGCCTGATATCATTGTCCAAACACTTCTTGRGCCCTACCAGGTTTGGTGCTGTGACCACTTCCTTGGRGAGCCTGTTCCAGKGACCTGCCACCTCYGGGTGARGAATCCTTTCCTGATCTCCAACCTAAGCCTTCCCTGACACAACTTCAGGCCATTTCCTTGGGTTCTGTCTCTGGTCAGGAGAGTGAAGAGATCAATACTTGCCCCTCTTCTTCCCCTCGTGAAGATCCTGAAAACCTCAGTGTGGTCTCCCCTCAGCCTCCTCCAGGCTGAACAAACCAAGTGACCTCAGCCACTCCTCATAAGATTTTCCCTCCAGACCCTTCAACATTCTCATGGCCCTCCTTCGGACACTCTCTAATAGTTCAATATCTTTTTTATATTGTGGCACCCAAAACTGTGCCCAGCACTCAAGGTGAGGCTGCCCTAGCCCAGAGCAGAGCAGTACAGTCCCCTCCCTTGCCCTGCTGGCCATGCTGTGCCTGATGCACCCAATGATATGCGTAATGCACTCCAGAATATGCTTATAAGTAAAAGTTAAGAAACCTTAGTTTTAACCCTGTATTTTACTCAAGAAATGTGCAAATTACTATCCTGTATCAAGAAACAGAAGTTAATAAAAAGGAAGTATGTTCTAAGGAATGGAAAGCATAATATTAAGTACATTATCTTGAAAAATCTGTTATCCCAGGCAGGACAAAATTGCTTTGTGAAAATCATGGTAGTAGACTTTAAGTATATGATAACCCATAATAACATTAAGTAAACCTATAAGCTGATAGTTTTAAAGTCTGTATTATACATTGAAATCTAAATGGAGTGGCACTGAAGAAATGCATTTGGTTTTGGGTTTTTTTTTCCTTAGAACTACTGAACTAGTGAGGAAATATGTTTGTGAGAAGTACCGTTTTTATAAGCAGAAAACATCTGGTTCAGTGGTAGCACCAGGTGGGACATGAATGGAAGCTGTACTTGCCCCATTGCATAAAGCTTGTTTTGATCACTGTCATGTTTTTTAAATTTSAAAGATTTGGAACTTTTAAATGAATGTAAATAGAACCAAGTTATTTAATATTAAAAAGGCTACATAGCAGATATTTTTAATTTCTTTAAAACAGTAATCTTGTTGTAAAGCAGAATTTCTGGCTTGGCCMAATTCCTAGTAATTTCAAGGCTTATGTCTAAATTATAAGTGCACTTTATTTAACTTCAAGTTAGTATCTTCGTTAGTTTATATATATTAAGAAATTATCCTTCAGCCTGTAAATTGCTAATAAAAGCACATGTCTTGATAGCTTTTTGTAAATTAGCTGCAGAATCTTTGTTGTGAAGAACTGCAGTTTAGAGGAAAGGCTGAGCATAAGGTTTGTGTACAATACTTACCTGCAAATTGGTGGTAGTTTTCTTGTTTGCTTTTCAGTTTGTTTATTTTTAATATTCAATCTCACYTCATACTGAGATAAAAAAAAATTGTGAGATTTTTCCTTCTAATGGAAGGAACAAGGTATGATTTTTCTAAATGTTGTTCTTAATTTACACTGCTGCAACACCACAAAATGCAGGAATTGGCAAGGTCAGAAGGAATACTTTAACCTGTGGACAAGACCATTTTCACAGGCTTGTCCTTAGTAATAGAGGCATTTCAATAATATTCTCCTTTTCTTGTGCTGTTTTTCACGTGTGCTCACAGGATTCCTTTCCACTGAAAGTTCGAGGTATCCACTTGATTAATGAGCCTTTATTCTTCCACCCCGTCTTCGCTCTAATTAAGCCTTTTCTCACTGAGAAAATAAAGGAACGGGTGAGTRCACACAAATACTTCTTTCTGACACACAACCCTTACATGACATTCTGTTGCACTTCTCTTAGGCTCTGTTATTTCTGAGCACTGAAAAGATAAATCATTTTTGTTTGTTAGTGCCACACAGACCACCAGAATCTAACTGTAGAGCATTTGCAGTTATCAGTAACATGAGAGTCACAAGTGGTGCTGATATCACTACCCTAAAGATAAAAAACTATGTGACACAAAGAGATTTAATAATTTGCTGARGTCACATAACAGTTCTTCTGCAAAACTAGAAAGTAATAGGTCCTGGATTTCTCAACACTCTGCCTATAAATGCTAGAGATAAATTATGACTGAACAGCGTTCTATGCTCCAATTTGTGCAGAATTATTAGAAGGCAACTGTTTAGCTCTGATAGACCTCCAGAGGCATTTATGCCTCAAAAATTGGTCAGACTTAAGTTTGAAGTTTTTTTCCAAATAGCTCCTCAGTTATTTTAAATAGTTTTGCAGTTACAAATCTGCATATAGATTTGTATTTGGATGCAAAAGTATGCCAAGGACTATGGTTTTTTGCAGCATAGGAAAAATATTGGAGTTTTCAACTGGCACAAAAGTTAACACAAAACAAGTTAACTCAAAAGTGTTAACAGCAGGACTAAGGTACAAAATAAGCAGCTCTGCCTATTGTTATTCCCATTCTGAAGCCTTCTTGTCTCAGCACATGGATCTTGGGCATTTGCAATAGCCACTGCATGCCAGGACAGTAGACCCTATAAAAGTATCAGATTGTAAGTAATTAACAAGGTTTCAAAATAGCTACCATAAAGCAAGAGAAGAAGAACCAAAACTAAAGCATTGCATCAGTTMAAGTGGAATAGTCCAGGATCTAATTTCAGTTGGAACTGAAATTGATAGAGAGATCCTTTTGAGTATCTTCCTTGACACCACCTGTCTGTGCCTACATACATACTACATAATCTTGTTTTTAAATACATGTGGCAGGACCAGATAGTAATGGCCAGGAGCCAGACAGCAAATACAATTATGTAGTTAAACCAAGCTGGTGGGTTCAGCTGTTGCACTGAGATGCTTTGCTGCTTGTTTTTGCTCAGTACTGCCCAAGTAAATGCTTTTAATATTTTGGTTTAGGTGCATATGCATGGAGATAACTACTTGCAGAGTCTGACCGAACACTTCCCCGTCAGCATTCTCCCACGGGAATATGGGGGGGAGGAAGTCTCCATTGAAGAGCTGGCCAAGGAATGGACTGACTTCATAATGGCATCAACAGATTATCTTCGGAGCATTTCTCTGGTTGCCTGGGAATAACCTTAATACAGTATTTTATCAATTCTTGAGCACTTTCGTTCCATTGTGAATGAAAGCAGAATGACTTTGCAGGGCACTGAATGTTACATTGGCTGCACTTTTATACTAACTGGAGTCTATCAGTGTGTGTRTGTGAAGAGATGAATGAATTTTACATATTTGTAGCACAGTTTGTAATCCAGTAACTTGTATACCAGAAAGAATGCATTGGATATCAGATTGATACTGCTGCTGTTAAGTCTTTGGAGACAATTCATCTGTAATAATTCAGTCCAGAACCTTACACTTTTGTATCTTGTATAGGATACAAAACAAAGAACAGGTTGTGAATAGGGTAGTTTGTTGCAGAAATAAGACCACAGGGCTAATTTACAAGGAATGAAGAGGCTGCTTTTTGGATTGATTCTCAGGGAAAAATGATGTTTGCTAGTTTGTGTCAAAATGAAAATTAGTCARCCATAGTGAGACATTTGTGTTACTCTTTGTACTGCTTGTGCAGCTTCTGTTTTTGTTCTAATTAACAGCATAATCTTCAAGTTTTATAGGGAAAGCTGAGTAAAACACCATGTACTTACTCTTCAAAGGACAGTGTGAATCAGGRTGAGGAACTGGTAAGAGAGTAAAAACAACCTCGAAAATTCTTATTTTCTTTCTTCGAAGTGATACTGTCTATGGGCTGCAGTAAACAACTCAGATTATTATCACCTTGAATCCCTAGTGTAAAAGACTATAGAGGACAAAAGTTTTCAGCTGTTTGCATTATCTGTTTGTTTCAGAGGGTAAAGTAGGTTATCTTTTGTGGATCTGAACTTTAAAAATATCTGTTGTGTTTTAAGGGTGCTTTGAGGTCACTTGGGACCTCAGCATAGGAAATGCTTGATATTTTCATTTTATTTTCAGAACAGTAATTGACAACTGTTTGCTGTTGAGAAGAAATTATTTTTAATTTCCATTATTACTGCTCCTTCATTTCTGTAGGGGTAATGAAAAAAGTATTTCCATGCTTACTGAAAACAGGTTTTTGTTTTGTTTTGAAGGGGCATTATTGACATGAACACTGCGTGTGTGAAAGGTATCACTCACACTACATAGCAGCATCATCCTGCCATCCCCTGTATTTAGTAATCTCAACTGTTATTTTACTTCTCTCTCAGCTTTTTCCCAAAATCTCAGTTAGTACACCAACTGCTAGAGTTCATTTACCGAGTTTTTAACTCTGTTTTGYAATAAGCCAAGGAGGTTTTGCAYAAGCWCTGTATTTTYAAGCATTCCATAGGAATTTTCRTATAAATAAATCCRTAACAAATGCTTTGCATCTCAGGTAGCTAGAAATTATAGCTTCAGTTATTTTGTAACCTTCAGGACAGTGGGACATTATAGGGGTTTAGGGGAGAGAAATGAGACTGTCCTATAATACTAGAAATGTCTTAAGTTAGGTTATTATTATTGCAAGACTCATTGGAAGCTATTCTTTATTAGCAAGAGCAAAGTCTATGAAAGACCCATTAGAGTACTTGTTGGTTGTAGTTTCTTCTGTTGTGATAAGATCAATGCCAGAAATTCTTTCAAAACTGACAAAAACTTTTTTTTTCCTTCTCATTCCCTCAATGCGTTTTTCATTTTTCTCTTTCAGAATATTTTTTATATGGGGCCTAAATTTAAAGAAACCTATTTTCTACTATATGATTCTATGAAAATCTATTTCATATATAATTTTTTCTCAGATTGAACTATTTTGTGATACAAAAGCTCCTTAAATAGAGGAGTTCAATGAACTTCAAAWTCTTCTTTATAAGAAAATAGATTAAGTAGTCAGGTATCTGGCAATTATTCAAGTGTGTAACTCACATTCCAAGTAATTTACCAGCTGGAGAACAGAACCTATTGTCTTAATATTATAGTCCTTTGATTTTARTCCCTGAATGTAAACTGCACAAAGGAATGAACCATGTTTCAGTGAACAAGAAAATKTAAACTTTTCCTATAAAACCATTATTCATTTGCTGCTGGTTTATGTAGCAGAAACCTTATTCAATTGCATATGTATGTGCACATGCATATGTAGCTGGGTTTTTAAAAATCTTTATTTGATCTTCACCAGCTCTATGAATTCCTAAGAGTCTTCAAAAATACCCTGATCCTGTTATTAAGTGATACCATGTTTGCATAACACGACAGTTAGAGCACTGAGTGCAGTTATTTTTTCCTGAACTGTTAATTATTTTTTGGTGTTTACATATTATATAGGAGGTGGGAACTCTTAATTGCAATTGCTGCTAATAATGAGGACRCAAGATAATTGGAACATTTGCATAACGAGTGGTGGAGATACTGGTACAATGCGTGCTGGTGTTGCCGCTTTGAGCAGCAGTCAACAAAACAAAGATCCCTAAGTGCATTATTCTTTATAAACATCGGGAGTGCCTCTAAAAAAATAACCGTTCCTGTTAAACGGTGCAAATATAATTTACTACTGACTGTAAGCACGATGTAATGAAAAATGTATTTTAAAAAATGTTCTCTTTTTTTTTTTTTTTTTTTTTTTTTTTTTTTTTTTTTTTTTTTTTTTTTTTTTTTTAATGTATTAACACCGTTTTAATTAATAAACCCTTTCTGGTTGAACCAGTCTGTCAGTGGTTTTTCCGGGACCAGCGAAGGAGCAGGCAGCGGGGGATGTCCCGCGGGCGGGGCGGCGAGTCGGGACTGCATTTCCCAGCGAGCCCCGCTGCGGGCGGGCCGGGCTGTGCGTGCGCGGGGGCGGGCGGCGAGACCGGCTGGCAGCCGTGCCCGGAGGCGAGCCGGGAACCGAGCCGAGCTGAGCCAAGCTGAGCCGGGAGCCGAGCCGAGCTGAGGCGAGCCGGGACACGAACCGGGAGTCGAGCCGAGCTGAGGCGGGAGAAGAACCGGGAGCAGAGTCGAGCTGAGGCGGGAACCGAGCCGAGCTGAGGCGAGCCGAGCTGAGCGGAGCTGAGGCGGGAGCCGGGAACCTGGAGGCGAGCTGAGGCGGGAGCCGAGCCGCACTGAACTGAGGCAGGAGCTGAGCTGAGCCGAGCCGAGCTGAGCCGAGCCGAGTCGAGCTGAGGCGGGAACCGGGAGCCGAGTTGAGCAGAGCCGTGCTGAACTGAGGCGGGAGCCGAGCCGAGCCGTGCCGTGCCCGTAGCTGAGCCGAGCTGTGCCGTGCCCGGAGCCTAGCTGAGCCGTGCTGAGCCGAGCCGAGCCGTGCCGTGCCCAGAGCCGTTATTCGTGCCCGGCAGCGGCCATGGGGCTCCTGGCTGGGCTCCGTCCCATCGCGGCCGCCGCGCTCCTCCTGGTGCTGCTGCGCTGTGGCTCCGCAGCTTCGCTGGCGCGGCGCGCCCTCCCGGCGGAGCGCAATGACAGACCCATCATCGGTAAGGGACCGCGGGGCCGCTCGCACCCTGCCCCGGCCCTGCTCCCGCCTCGCAYYCTGCCCCGGCCCTGCTCGSYGAGGGARACGTCTCCCGGAGCSCAGGGTCGGCTAGGGCTGTTACAARCAGCGTTACGCTGTACGGGCTTTCTCTGAAAATCAAGCATATTTGGGAGAAGTAACAGTAGTGAGCAGGTGTAGCAGGGAGGTCGGGTCTTAGTCAGGTAATGTGTGTTTATGTGGTACTTTGTGACGAGGCACCGTAATTGATGCCCCGTTGTCGGTGCCGTAATTGAGGCACTGTCTCTCGGTCACTGCGGTTCCTCCAGGCAGTAAATGTATCGCTGCAAGCTGGCATATAGGAAATGAGAGTTTAATTAAATRGTTATTAAGAGCACAAAGCTTAGGAGGAGCGGCTGAGGAGTCYGGGGTGGTTTGGGCTGGAGAAGAGAAGGCTCAGGAGTGATCTCATCGTTCTTTATAATTGCCTGAAAGGAGGTTGCAGCAAGGTGAGGGTTGCTCTCTTCTCCGCAACTAGCACTAGGACAAGAGGACAGTCTTGAACTACCTAGAGGAGGTTTAGGTTGGACATTAGAAATAATTTCATTTACAGAAAGGGTCATTAGATACTGTAATGGACTGCCCAGGGAGGTAGTAGAGTCACCATCCCTGGAGGTGTTTAAGGAAAGACTGGACATGGCACTTGTGTCATAGTTTAGTTGACAATGGTGGTGTTCAGTCATATTATTCAGTTCAGATTTGATGGTCACAGAGGTCTTTTCCCATCTAATTGATTCAGTGAGATTGTGATTTTTCTTTCAGTGCGTAGCATTTGCCATTTGTATAGTGCTAATTTTCTTCCTTGGGCCCTTCAGGGATATTGTCACAGGAATGTCACTTTGATGAGTACCAGAAATTTGGAAGATCTTATATTGCAGCTTCATATGTGAAGTTTGTGGAATCTGCYGGTGCTCGAGCTGTGCCAATAAGGTACATTTTTTATGTCCTTAGGAGTGGATASTAATTGCATTATGTAAAATATGCCCCATTTCAGAGGTACAGAAAGCAGTTGTGCTGCTTTTCTGAGGGTTCATTGCTCCTCAAAGACCATTTGAAGATGCCATAATTTTCAGAGAATTTCAGAAGTTGGAATAAAAGCAGAATGGAATGTGTACTTTTTAATACTTCTTAATGTTATTAGTCTTTCTTTGAAAAGTGCCTTTTTTTTTTTTTTACCAGTAAATTGCCTTCTGTAGTTTGCATGCACAGTTTTTGAAGTTGGCTATATTCAGTCTACTGATAGTGCCCCACAAACACACATGGATACCTAGATATCTATATCTTTTTTTCACATTCTGTAGCCCTGGAATTCAAAGAATGAAGGAGCACTATTGCTCCTCCTTTCAAAAATCAAAGTCCAGTTCTGTTCAAACTATGAGTCACTAACTCCTTGTGTTTTGGTTGTTTGGGTAAAAGTAGCAAAGTAACAATTGACAGTGCTTCATACCGGCACTGAGCCATAAAATATTAAGTGCACTGATACCAAATGATAGAATTATAAATTCCAGTACTTTAAAACAATGCTAATACGGCTGCAGAAAAATAAAATAGGCTCTATCTACACAGTCTGATAAGAACACCATTTAAGTGCCTGAATTAGAAGCCAGCATTCCTCACTAAGCTGCTGGAGCTTTCAGAATGTGTGTTGACCAGAAGCTTCACCAATGAATGGACGCTTTTAATTCTGGCATTTAAGTTACTTACAGCAAAGAAAGCTGAACACTTTCACTTATACCCAACATATCAGTTCTGCAGAGGTGTAGCCATCTGTGCTGCTTTTGGCTGSGTAGAGTTAATTTTCTTCACAGTAGCTGGTGTGGGAGTGTGTTTTGGATTTGTGCTGAACACRGGGTTGATYATATAGAGATGTTTTTGTTATTGCTGAGCAGGGCTTACMACAGAGCCAAGGCCTTTTCTGCTTTTCATGCTGCCACGCTGGCAAGGAGGCTGGGGGTGCATGGGTGTGACCCACTGTTTGCAGCTCTGCCCTTCTTGGAGTCGGTTGGAAACCGGAGTGGCCGGTCTGCAGGAAATAATAACCATGCCATCCATGTAAATGGTAAATTTTTCRAGTGTCTGCAAAAGGGTCTCAGAGTACCTCATCAGGAACTGCACCTGACAGGGCCCTGTTTTCAATCTTGTGGACTGAGCAGTTTCAAGTGAAAAGTTTAATCTGATTTGTGTCTACTTTATTCTCTTTAAAGCGTGCCTTCTACATATTTTCTGTGTCAGACCATTTCTGTTTAATAGAGATGATTTTTTTGTGGTTAAATATCTGTACTTCATATGTGTTCTATATTTTTTTGATGTTTCAGATTAAATCTTACAGATGAAGAATATGATAGAATATTCCACTCTATTAATGGGTAAGTCTTGAGCACTGATGTTGAAAGACATGTCAGTTCTGTTTTTGAGCTCTGCTGTGTTCCCAAGAGCATTGTCTTCCTGCTCTCTTGAGAGGTCATGCTGGRCACTGCAGACATGAAAATATGTTCTCACACACAGAGTGCTTTATTTCATCCAATATTGGTGTGCTGCCCTTCCTTCCTTGAAGAACACATCAGATAATCTGCAGCAGTGCCAAGGCTCATCTTGGCATTCTCTTGTGCTTGTCTGCAGGCAGGCAGAAGTGGCATTGGAGTTATTAGTAATTTTGCAAGTGTAACACTCTGCTTCCTCTTTGTTAATCTTTCTGTCTTCCTCATTTGAGCTTCATTTTTATGTTTAATAGCACTTCCTTGGTATTTCACCCCCATTCCTACCCTTTTTTCTCTCTTTCAGTCCTTWTCATATCTCCTCTATTATACAAGTTTCTGATTTCCAGTCTCTTCTACTCTTTTCTCCATGTGGCTCTCTCTCTTGCTGCTTGAATGGTCTGTCTTGCCTGTTGTGATTCTGTGGCTTAGGTCTTTGTTAGAAAAACTTCCTGGCTTTTCAGAAGGGATCTATGGCAACAACCCCTGTGTTCTTCACACATTTAAAATGTGGCATAATGTGGATCTTTACTAACAAATTTTATTGTGGACTAAGCAAAGTCAAAACTTTTAATGGTTTTTTAGCCTTGTGCTGAAAGTGCACTTCAGAAGAGTARAATCAGCTGATGCTAGACTTCACAGCCCTGTTGGTGTGTGAGGCCCGAGCATCATCGTAGTCATGAGATGAGCATCTTAAACCATGAATACATTTGGTAAGCTTATGCATGTACTAGAAAGTTAATCAGCAAGTGTAGACCTTGCAGATTTGGATCTTTGGCTGTCTGGGGAGTGCACTGTCCCCCTCAGTACCTCAACATGCCCTGGACACTAAGACATGGATCTCTGCAGTCTTGTGCTATAAGAGAGTATACAAGAGTAATCCTTTCTCTGCTGTGACTCATTGTGTTGGAGACAAAATGAATAATTTCATTATTTTCTCATGGCTACCRGCTTCTCTTTGGTTGCTAAAAAGGCTTTCCCACCAATGGTCTCTGTCATGGTTTCTACCTTGCCACCTACCTCAGTGCAGAAGAAAGTGTTTGGCAAGTAGATCCACTTCCTTTGTCCTTTGGTCCTTGCAGTTACTGTCAGTTGAGTCTGTGCTATGTAGGTGAGTAAGGATGGTCTATATTTTCTCTTGTGGCCCTCACCATCACATGTTAGCTTCCACAATAAAACTGTGTGTAAATAACAAAAAGAATCTCTGGACAGAATGACTTTTATTCTGTGGAAATTCAGAATAAGARGGAGACACATGATTCTTTCATATTGTTCTTGGAAGTTGGAAATCCCTTACTATTAAATGCTACCTTCTTAAAATCATAAAATTTACTGTAGTAGAGACATAATTTTATGAATGTACTCCTTAGGTAGCCATTAAAACGCCCAGTGGAAATCATCAGCTCTAACAGTTAGAGATACTGGAGCACACGTAGTTGCATTTCAATCTGCTTATGACAATGTCAAGCCATTAYCATTGCTACTTAATGACTTATTTCCTTTTTGCATTAACAAAAATGATGATCATTTTTCCTGATAAGTGTAGTCCAGGTTTTGGTTTGAACAGGTAAAATAATTTTTCTACCACTTCCAGGTAAAGATCACCTTATTTGTCTAAWTAGATCTCTGAAGAAATTTATAATCTAGCCTGTTTTGAAAATACCTTCAACTGTATTAATTTTAAATGTTGATACTGGGAAGTACAGTTTTTTGTATTTTTGTGAATACTACTTTTCCACCAAATACTTGATRGCTTTTACATGATCCTGTGCATTATTTACTTTAAAAAACATGGGTCACAAGGGTTTAAATGCACTTTTGCTTGGGATCATTTGAGATGTTAGTTGTTTATAGCTGCTTGTTAGTATCTCACTGACACAGGTTGCCATTTCCAGACCACAGAAATGCAGAGGAAAGCCTACAACAATTTTGGTAAAAAATCAACAACTGATGGATGTGACTTGAGCAAATCTAACTGAGGTTCTGCAGCAGTGGTTTAGGGAATGCTGACACATCCAGTTCTGTTGGTTYKGCAGGYACTGTTCCAGTTACAGCCAGAAGARGCTTCCTTTATTCCTTGTTACTGTTTCTGATGGTGCTTGATTACWTTCTGTGTCATCATGTGTCCATGTGAATTCTCTGTTAGACTGTATTGAATCTTTTTCTTCTGTGGTGTTTGTTTGCATTTGGGGAGCCACACAGGGAATTACCATTCCTGATTATATTTTGTGATGGAAAAAGCTTGGGCATTGTTTCTTGGAAATTGTACCCTGAGTTTGCTTTGTCTACTTTAGATCTCTTGGGATCCTGTGTGATCAAAGGTTATGACCAAACAGACTTTTCTTCCTTTTTCATAGGAGCTTTTTGATCTGTGTTGTCTCCAATAAGAAGGTCACTGTGCCAAGGTCACAATTCTACTTTTCTGAAGCTGAACAGGATCAATTAAGATTTGGGCTGGAATTTTAAAGTGACAGTGAGAACCAGCTGAGAGGCAGGACAGGAGCTGACAGTCATGGCATGCAACCCTTTTGTATACCAGCTGAAATCTCTGTTTTTAATGCATTTTCTGTTTACTTTCTTCTTCCATATGTTGCATTAGACTTGATCTATACTTTGTAAGAGAGTAACCATGCTTCAGTAGAAGAACACTAAGACTCAGAATATGATTCAGTAAAAGACTGAAACACCTAAGCTTAGCTGTCTGCATGTGCACTAGTTGTCCAAACTCATAATTGATGGAAAGCTAGTCAGTACAGCCAGTGGAGCTGACACGGCTGTTCAGCCTACCCACCCTCAGGTGTCTGCTCTAGAAAACCTATTTGAATTTCCAGTGACTTTCCTGACTAGATCCTCTCTCCCCGTAATGGGAGCATAGATGCCTATCTTTAGATTTCTGAAACTTAGACCTGAATCAAACCCTTAGAACTGCTTTCAGACATTTCTCTGTGTGCCTTGTCCAGGTTTTGGGTTTATCACTGTTGCTAATCCTATTCTTGGATTTTGCCTTTCAGGGTACTTTTTCCAGGAGGTGGTGTGGATCTTCAGACTTCAGAGTATTCGAGGGTTGCTAAGATGTTTTACCACAAGGCCTTGGAGGTAATAACTAAGGAGCAGTAGGTTCTTTTATCACTGTTCAGAGTTCAAAATGACAGGTTCATATCTTTCATAGTTTTGCACTGTCATTCAGTGTGTTAACTGGAGAGCTGAAAACAGGTAGCTTATTTCTTGCTTCTGCATAAAGCTTCTGCATTAATAACCACTCCTGCTATATGTTATGTTATGGTCTTAAACTCCAAAGTTCTTCAGGTGAGAACAGTATTGTTAATACTATTCCATTGAACCTGAGGCTTTATGGCTTTCTATGAACTTGAAATGAAGTGTTTGTTGGCAGTCAGGAATTGCTCTTCTGGCTTGCCAACAGCAGGCAAGGAAAGTGCAGGCAGTGGCATTCACAAGACCAGTTAGCTGCTGCAAATCAGTAATTGAGCTCCCTTTGCTTTTCAGTTTCTGTGGCACCAAAGTTTTTATTCGTTTCTCTGTCTTTATTTGTGGTGAGTCCTGTAAAGACTGTCTCACTTTTATGTGAGACAATTTTATTTGTCTCTTTGAAACTGYTCACTGTGTGAACTGCAGCCTGTCTCTCAAGGCAAGTATTTCTTGTACAAGTTCTTGTACAAGGTTTGTTGTACAATTAGGAAATTATGTCAGCATTTCACAATGATGAACTGAATTGCCTGYGTCACTTTATGATCAGAGAGACAGATTTATTAGCTGATATGTGTACTACCAGTGAGTGAAAGGCAGAAAATAATACTCAGTTCATCATAGGTAACCCTTTCTAACAAGTCAGAGGTTTTTCTTTTCTGTTTGTGATAATTTTGTGTTTTGATTTTCATCTTTCAAATCTTAATTAGTGCAATAAAATATTGCTACTTTTACTATGGTAAAGTAAGCTACAATGGTCAAGAGTATCTTTACAGGTACAGAATGACTGAATTTTATGTTTTTCTAAAACATGAGGGATCCTTTTCATTTGCAAATGTTCACAATGAGAAATTACTTTGATCTGCCTTTGCTTTAATATTAATACAGGATGTAAAATGCTAATCCCCATTCAAGTCAGTAGAATTTTACTAGTTAGACAAACATATAAATTAAATACTGTTACCCAGCTCTTAAATTAGTTTTTGAAATGTGATGTCATGGGTGTTAATGCATGCTTAGCCCCCAGGCTCTTGTTTATTTGAAAAAAAAAAAAAGGGGAGGGGCCACAAAATCTTTGTTTCAGTTGTAGCTGTTTTTAAAGTGTAGGTTGTTTTTGCCTTCAGTAGTTTTAGTCCTCACTTGCAGCTCTACTGTCTTTTTCATATAAGTCCTGTGCCTCATTGTACATGGTGGGTGTACATGTCATGAAGAGCATGGTGAACAYATCTGCAGCCCTGTTAGCCTTCTTTCTGTACATCTGCCTTGTTTTGCTCTGTGAAGAACTAGTTCTGTGGGCTTTTGTTGCCATATTGTCAGTAATGCAGTAGGGGAACATTTTTATTCTGTCATTTTAGCTTTCTCAAAAATGGTTTTGAGCAGCAGCTTTTCAGGGACTGTGTGTGTGTTGTGGTATGTGTAAATTAAAAATATTTAGAAACAAGAAAAACTAGTCAGGTTTCACAAAAATAGGAGTTCTGAGACAGTCTCCAACATGTGCTTACTATCAGGTATAAASCATCTGAAAATGCAGATTGCCACTCTGTGCATGCACCATGTTTAGTTAGGTTGCAAGAAGGTAGTGGTGCTCTTGGTCTTTTGCTTTCTTTTTCTCCTTTTTGGTTTTTTTTTATATTGTTTTCATACTGACCTGCCAATTTTTATTCTTTTAAATTGATTGCCACTTTTTAATGTTGCTTAGACGTGCATTTTGTCTTTTTGGAACACAGGTCCAAACCTGCTAGTTAAACAATCATGTAAATATATCCCATAGGACCATAGCTATGCTAGCAGTAGGATTTGTTGGGTGGGCACAGACTTTGCTATATGATCACAGTGTGCTTCACATAAAAGTATGAATTGAAAGGGGTAGGCCTTCCCTCAAAATAGTGACAGRCTCTTCTGTGTCCCTTCTAATGACTGCTCTTTTTGTAGAAATGTTGCCATTTTAGTTTTGTTTTGTGCCATTTTGGYTTCTCTTTAGGCTGCTCTCAACATTACTTACTCATAGAATAAAGCAGTCAAGTCAGTGTCCACATTAGGCTCATATTGCTGCTTCAACATATATGTGTATGTCCTTTAGCCTTCACATTTTAGGAGAAACCCTAAMGGAGTCTGTGCTTATTTCAATTGCAATTGAACTGTTGCAATTCCAGTGGTAGCAGTTCATACTACTGTAGTAGTTACACTTCTCACCTACACAAAAGAAAGTGAAAAGGGTAGGAAGTTGTTGGTTTCCTTTTTGTAAATTTTCATTATTGTTTCCTTATGTTGTTGCTTTTTTTTTTGAAGGCTAATGATAAAGGAGATTATTTCCCAATATGGGGAACATGTCTTGGACACGAAGAGCTTACGTATCTCACAAGTGGTGAAGTTTTACTTGTTAATACCAAGACCAATGGATTTTCACTTCCTCTGAACTTTACCTCAGGTAAAAAAAAAACATTACATCATGTGTCTCTTGACTTTTGCTTAGAGGTGTTTTGTTCATAGTAAATATTATGGAGTGAATGTTTGGGATGTTTCTGATTATTTTCTTGTAAAATTTTGTGTCATTAAGTTACCTTGACTGTTTTTGTAAAGTCAGTGCAACTGTCACTTCTAAAGCAGCGAAGTGAGCACAAGCCACTTGAAACTAAGAGCAGTCAACAAAAACCACAGTTGYGGCTCTCAGACTCATTTGAAAATTTGGACCGATGAAATAATGTCTGTTCAGGGCCCTTTTTGTTACCAAGCTGATCAAAAAAAATTGACAGGTTCAAAACCTATAAAACATGGAGAGCAGGTGGTTTTAAATTTTTCAAATCACGTCTTTCTTGATGATGAATAGTAGCATTACTGTCCCATTTGAACAGTATCGAAATCAGAGAGGTCCTTTAAAGACAGAGCTGTGGCAGTCAGCAGCACTGGTAAAATGTGGCCTCTGTTAATACTTTACCCTTTGTGAGTAATCCATCTGCAGACCATGCAGCACTCACAAATTCTGTCATTTTGAGGGGAAAGGCAGTGAAATGACTGTTAAGAAATKGTGCTTATTTTAGTGAGAATTTAGGTAGCAAAGTTGGATCCCCTCTGGGTCAAGACTGGTGAACAATGGTAACATCATATTGGAAATCAGTTGTAGTTATTTCACTGATATTTCTTGCAGGATACTCTAAAAKAATAAAGATTTACTGCCAAAAAAAGTTTACTTTAGTACGGCATCTTATTAATTGTCTTCTGTTCAGTATTAGTCCTTCTGAGACCAGTTTGGGTAATGGAAAATACAATTTTTTTTCTTTGTAATAGCTGCAAAAGACAGTAAAATGTTCAGGAATTTCCCTGATGATGTATTACACGCACTTGCTACTGAGCCATTGACATCAAACTTTCATGTATGGAGCCTCTCCATGCAGGTATTTGATTTTTTTTTTCCTGCAAACAAGAAATTTTTTTTTGGTTAAAAGTAGAAATAAATAAGCAAATAATACATTTTCCCTCTTCTTCCTCTCCTTATCGCAGAATTTCACAAATAATGAAAAACTTCGTCATTTCTATAAAGTTCTGACTACTAACACCAATGATGAAGTGGAGTTTATTTCTACCATGGAAGGTAAGGAAATTAATTTCCTTTGGAAACTGTGACTGTAACAATCCAATTCCTTAGAGGTGTTGTGTCATTGATRTGAATTCAGTTAGAACAGCAGGGTGAGCATCAACCCTGTCAGTGTTCTGGCTGTGGGAGCATTCTCTGTTGGCAGAGATATTTTATCTTTTGAGTRCTGTGAGCCTGATTACTCCTCCCACCCGCTGCTCCCCTTCCAGATATGCAGTTACACTTTAGCTCTGGCRTATTTGAGCGCTGTGGCATGAACTTCTCAGCCCTTGTCCTGCAGTGCCATGTRCCTCTGTCAAACCTTGCTTTCCTGCTGTCTGCTTCAGCTTGCGTTTGCCTGGTGCTCTCTATCTGTTTGCTGTGTGGGAAGAACAATCATGGCTGTGGGGGGAACAGYAATATCCTTCACTCCTTTAGCAGCYGTGCTGGTAATTGCMCTCCTCCAGAAGTCTTTTGCATTACTTGTGCTGTTTCACACTGGGCTTGCTCAGCTCACCAAACAAGTCAGCTCTTCAGGGAGTGTTTTATCTCAATMGGTTCCCCACTAGCAGCCCTACTGTAAGGCCCAGCTGTCACCAATGGGATTCTTCTGTGTGGCATCCTGGCTGTCCTCCAAACGAGAAGAATAGCACTTTGATCAGCAAACCTGATTAGGCTAATGACAGGCATCACCCGTGCCTTGGAGTGGTTTATCACAGATCAGGCATCAGCTGCTGTGCYGCTATTCCCTGAAAGAGAGTGAAAGACTGACGCCTCCAAAATGTGTCATTCCTGGCCAAAGCAGATGGGAGCTGCCCCTGGATTGACTGGACCTTCAAGGGGATACTGGGACTTGGATCTCTCCCATGGAACTGGCATCCTGTATGGCTGTGAATGCTGAGTGATGCTGGCAGCAGATAGGAAGTTTTGAGACTGATATGCTTGAAACATTATTTTTTCATGTGTGTATACGTTAATTCTGAAATGAATAATCTAAAAAGGGATAAAGCGATGTACAAATATTTTCTTTGTGGATTGAGACACTTCCTTTACAATATCTGTTCATTTTCCTTCAGTTCTACTGTGACTTTAACAACATTTCAACTTGCTGTTTAAGCTCTTGTGAAACTATTGATAAGTGAAGTATATTTGTTGCTTGTCCTTTGAGTTTATTTTGCAGTAAGATTAAGCACATAATTCTTAAGGCATACACCTTTACACACTTCGTATTTTGTTGTAGCATACCAATATCCAATTTATGGCCTGCAATGGCATCCAGAGAAAAATCCTTTTGAGTGGAAGGACTCTCCAGGCATTCCACATTCGCCATCTGCTGTAAGAGCAGCATACTATATGGCTGAATTCTTCGTTAATGAAGGTAAAAAAAATTATTATCTATAAATGTTGGTGGTTAGAGTGAAGCATTACTGAAAAACTTTGAAGATGACGGACTTCTTTTTCAGTTGTCAAAGTTCAGAAACTCACAATGCTTTCTGAGAAGATTACTCTACAAGCTTTATAGGCTTATAAAACACCAAAGGATACTAGAAATAGAAYGGCTTAGTGAAAGTAACATCAAAAGGCCAAACATTCCACAAACTCTTTTCACTAGGCTGGCTCTAAAACATTGTTCTGTGACTTTCTGCCTCTTCAAAATATTCCTGTAACATTTTGGCCTCTCTTGCACAAAGACAATAAAACAAAAGAAGTACTCCATTCATAATTCCAGGGGCTTCTTCAATTCCAAACTGGCTTACAGTCATTCAATGTGTTCTCAATGCTGCTTGGAAAATGCATACACCAGGACTGTMAATATGGCTTGGGCAGCATGGCTGTGTCAGAGGGGTGCAATATGGTTCCCTACAGTTGTATACTGTAGAGAGCATAAGAAGTTTTTGATTTTTACAGAGTTTCTGTTTTGTTGTTTTGTTTTTTTTTATACACTAAGAATCTGGTAGTAACTAATGTRTAACATTTTGATAGTTTATGACACTTCTGGTCTAATTGCTATCAATAAGCAGAATATAAATACAGGAGTATTTGAAGGAATCAAATGTTATTGCTTTATTTATCCCTAYTAAACCATTCTGCTGGACTWTTTTATGAAAATGTCTTACTTCCTTGAYTGGGACTATGAAGAACATAATAATTAAGCTAGTTGAGTTTGGTCTCTAGACTTGRTCCCTAATCAAAAGARTCAACTTRATGAAGAAAGTAGAGAGTGATTTAAAGAAATGCAATTTGTGCAGTCCTGATCAGTGAAAGCGTAGAAAAAAAATTGTGTTTCATACAAATTCCAGGTGCTTTTTTGCATGAAGTAGTCCTACTACTCTTTATGAAAACATAGCAAAACCATTTTGGTAGGGTACTTATGGCCAGGCTGAGCTGGGCCTCTGAGCAGTCTGGTCTGGTGGAATGTGGCTAAGGGGGATTGGAACAAGAGGATCTTTAAGGTGCCTTCCAGCCCCAGACCATTCTATGACATGGTGGACTATGACAAAAATGAAGGGCAGAATAGGAGAGAATACATGGTACATCTGGCTTTAATTTTGTAGTCAAATACTAAAATACAGTGTGCTTTCTGGTTTTGTTGGCTACTTTCTCTAGTATCTGTCTGCACACTGTTTCACCAGCAGCAGTAAGCTTGCTCAGACCATTATCCACRTTAAGTGGAGCAAAACAAGTGCTGACTCTGTTCTTAATTCTTACTTAGTTCTGTTACGTGTGTGCACACATAACCAGGAGCCTGTGCAGAGAGCCACACAGATGTGTCACTGGCTTTTGGATCTGCTGACCTGCATTCCAGTAGCGCAAACTTTCCTCAGCCAGCTGTGTCTACCCTCCATCTCATCTACCAAATTCTGAGTTGTTCTTCATTTCCTCCCTAGTCTTTTGGGGAGGTACTGAAGAATAAGCTGCTCCTACTGAGCAGTTATTTATATAATAACTTTGCAATGAGTAATTGACATTTTTAGCTAATGTAAGGCAGAATGTCTTCCCTAACTGAAAATAAACCACAAGATGGAAAACATAAACTGTTTTCAGCCAGTAAAAATACACTCRTTTGTGATCACTTAGTAACTAAACCTTTTTACTGAAGTACCATATTTGTATCCATATATCATTAATTTTAACTTGTGTAGAGCTGCCAACATAATAAACCAGGGGAGAATTCAGTTTTTCCTGTCTTCACCAGTGCAGTCCATGCCAACACTGCAGCTTTCAGTAGGCTGATACTCTGATGTATTTCTTTCAGAGTTAAAAGTACTGGTATTTCTGATAGATACTCCCAGTATCTCATGGATAACTATTTTTATACAGTCTTGGCTTTARATTCTCCCTCTCCGGTAATAAAATATGCTGTAACCAGCTTTCTGAAGATGTATCTTCACAGCTCTTTACATGCAAGCTGCTGTAATTCCATTTGTTGTTGTGCCAAACAAAATAACTTACTTTATCAAGATAAATGTTCTTGAGGAGAATAGCATTAAAATGATCTGTACTTTTGTGTTGTTTTACAGCCCGGAAGAGCCTGCACCATTTCTCCAGTGAAGATGAGGAAGCAAAAGAATTGATCTACAATTATAATCCAGTTTATACAGGAACATTTTCTGCATTTCAGCAAACCTATTTTTTTGATTGAGTGTCTTGTCAAAGGTGCAAAGTGTTGTTATTTATAAATGAAATTATTTTCCAGCATTGTGTAATTAAGCTGATACAATGACAGAAAGGCAGAACAGTTTTCCTTTACAATGATTTATTTTATGTATCTTCTGCACTATTGAAACATTTATATATAAATTTACGTTCAATAACATAATAATCATCTTGGATCACACTTTAAGGCAAGCTACAGAAAAATGTATTTTTCTTCCAGGAAGGAGGACTTGATTATGTTTATAAACTTTGAAGTAATCACCTTTGGTACAAGGAAAAGCTTTCATATATTTTAAAATATGAGACCTACCTTTGTAAAATGTTRTGGACTATGATAGCACTAGACACTTAAATACATTGTATAGTAAAATCCTGTCCTTTTCAAATGATTTAGCAAATGAGACTCTAGGGTTTGTCATAAATGTGTGTATGCAACCAAGTTCTTGATGGGACTCCTTTATCATTTCAAAAATTGACCAAAATAGTAAGGCATCATAGCAAAAAGACATTTTTGCCTCAGAARCACATTATATCCCATTTTTTGAACTGTTTCTCTCATACATTTAGCATTATTTGGAGTCCTCATACCTTGTGAGGCCTTCATAAATATGAGGATGAAGTGCGAAGTCAGCATTGCAAATATCAGTTAAARTAAGTAAGTTTGGAGGGCATAATTCAATGCTGATTCCACTTCCTGTTCTTTTCAAATCAGTTTTATATATCCTCCAAGAATTTGTCTGGGAGTAACTGTGTCAGCAGCCAGATATGAGATGCAGACACTCATTCCTTTGTATGTAAACCTAATTTTTTCTCTAAAGTGTCTGACTTTTCCTGTAGCTGGATAGAATTTTCACTTGAAGTCAAGACGTAACTTGCCATTAACTTAGTAAACAAGGTTGTTTCTTTCTGCCTTGTTTGATAGTTCAGTGCAGCTAGARTTTCAACAGCAGATGAATGTATATGAGAAGCCTGTTAAATGTGACACAATGTGAGAACAGCAGTTGCATGCAATACACTGGTATCATTTTTTCTCTGCTTTGCTTCAGGCTTAGTGAATGTTTTGTTCAGTGGCTTTTTGTGTTGTCCAAAAAGGAACTAAGATTAGGCAATCAGATATAATTCTCTCTAGCATAGCTTCCAAGCTCTTATCAGTAAAGATTTGGAGTTTATGAAGAATTCACGTTTATGCTTCAGCTCTGTTTTGTGGAACCTCATATCTCAGGTGCCATATCTGAATAAGTCTTGTAGTTTTCTCAGGTTTTTCAGGTAAAACACTCTCTAACTTGTTCTTTATCATGAAGCAACTGCATCAGAGAATGTGAAATGCATGTTAGAAAAAACTATGAGSAAACATTAACTGTGACTGCCAGAAAAACACTTCCAGGTAATTACAAGTTTCAACTTGTATTACAGCTTATTTTTACATTTGTCATATCAGCCAATTTAGGAAATGGTTATCTTTTTAATATAGGTAACTTTTTAAATGACTCCTGAGTAGAACCAAGTGAAAAAAAAGAGGGTTTTGCTCTACAGTTGCATGTAAATATAGCAGCTGTGATGCTTAGAAACCAAGTCCAGTMTTCTACTTGTTGTTGGGGCTGAGTTCTTTCGAATAGCTCTAAGAATTTACCTAAGTAAGGAGGGCAGGTTTTAGCCTTAAAACCAGAGATCAGTCTTTCAAGTGAAATGTCTGCAATGGTAGTAATTTCTTCCTAAGTGTGTAACTATAAGGAGTATTGTGTGTAATATGAGAAGTTTATATATTATGAATTTGTATGTGTCTTTCCTTTATATCCTTGACCTTGTAAAGCCTTATTTGATGATATGCATGATTTTTCTATSATACATGAAATAAACTTTTATTCAAGCAGACTTGTATTTTTGTCATCTTTTAGGTACCACAGAGAAAACACTGACAACAGTCATTGTGTTTTTGTTTCCATCTGKGATTAATTAGGGGGGTACTGTACAGGTTATAACCTGTGGCTACTTCCATGCCAGGAGGTCAGGGTCCGGGTAAGAGAGAGTATATAAAATTAAAAATTAAGAAGGAAGAAGCTCCATTCTGCTGTTTTCTCCACTGTGTGGACTATTCCGCTCTTCCCACTAGATGGCCTCCGAGAACCATTATTTTCTGCAGTTTTGCAATCGGGTGTGGCGGTGTTTCTAAGGTTGAGTAAGATATTTACTGTACTGTGGTATGTAGGAATGTGCCAGGGTATTTGGGATGTGGGGGAAGAAGAAGGGAGGAGGCAGAATAGGGCTGGAATCTTACTGGCACAACTGGGCATATTGGCAGGGTTGCAGAYGAGTCTGTGAGCATTGAATTAATGCAGCTGGGATTAAATCTTGTTTCCAGTGAGTATTTAAACCATTCAAGCATTTACTGGAGGTGACTGGAATTACACCTGTCTTTTCAGGTGGTTGTTCCTCCCCTTTAGCTATAGAATCTGTCTTGGTTCCATTTTCTATAAATATGAAACTAGCTCATGCAAAACAGGACAGACAACTTAGATGGGAAGAACTGAGAACCTGAGCTCAGAAAACCTTTGCCTGGGAGGCAGGAAAGACCAGTTTGAATTCCTTCAGGTAAGGAAGAAATTACAGGGAAGAAGCATCCTGAGTAAGTGCTATAAGTACTGTGTTAGAAGAGGAAGAGCTTAACCCACAAGCTTCATTGTGAGGAAAAACAAATCAAAACAACTCACCCAAATCCCCACCACTTTTGGGCTGACAAACTATGCAAAATTCCCTAGCAAAGCAGTGAATCCAAAGGAGAAATTACCGTCCAAGCACTTCTATGCTGAATATCTTATTCTTAGGTTAATTTTTAACCTTTTCCCCTTTAGCATCAGTGCCACCTTATTCATTGCTGTGGATGCTGCTCAGCAAAACAGTATTGAAAGCTGGTCTGTACACTTATAGATATAAGTGGCCTGTTAGGGATATGGTGGTTCTTCCCTTGGAACAGTGATGAAATATGGGGACAGTTTGAACAACCAGGAAGAACAATAAGGAATAATTTCCCAGTTGTGTGTTATCCCTGCATTGCCCTTATGAAACAGGAGCCCTAAGAGAAAAATACCTGTGTGTGTAATCAGGTGGCTGAAGCCTGCACGCCAGTGCTCACTCGAGAATGTCTGGGTTTCAGGTGAGAAAGTGTACACAAGATTTCAGTCACTTTTATCACAGTAAATAACTTAATTTTTTATTTTATCTGGGGTTGTGAGGTTTTTTAGGGGTGGGGTTTTTTTTTCTACTGTAGAGTTCCCATGTATATATCTGGTGATGGTGCTACCAGAAAAGTTATGAGAATTGGCCGGGGTCCAAGTCCCATTAAGGTTTCTAAATGCCTTTTCAAATTATTATGGTTTGAGTACTTACCAGGAAGTCAGATTGAGAGATACTGTGAAGTGATGGATTACCTTCCTTGTTGGCTTTGTGCCTTTCCCCGGGGCAGGCCCCTTCTCTAATCCACTGCTTATTTATAAGGCAAACAGTGAAGTATAGAAGTATAGCCTACCCAGGGCCACCTGTTGATGAGGATACTGTTGCAGCTTTCATC